TCATATAATAGATTTTTAGCCACTTGAGTAAAATACAATAGAATACGTTAAAAAAATATTATAAAAAGTCCTTTATAGCCAAATTAATTGTGAATTTAGTATTTTATAGTAGTACCTACATTACGTAATCGCAATGAAATTTCACAAAGTGTTAAAGGAAACTGGTACAAAGCGTTGAAGTTTCCATAAATAGCTTCTTCCAACCTTGGTGTAGTTGCTGTAATGTGTTCAGCATAAATTACAATCTTTCTACCTTATAATTGACTTTGATTATCAATTAACGTGCCAGTCATTTAATTACGCCTGTACAACCAGAGAACGTCAAGTGGTAATTTTTGTCAGTCAAAGTCGAGAAACACTAGGGTTCTTCCTGTTACTTCGCGCGACGGAGGATGCTCCTCTTCCCTCGTTCCCATTAACGCAGACTCTGCAGAAGCATTCACCGCTTGATAGAGAAACGTTTTCACCGACTACATACACAAGACCGTGCCCCCCCGACGCTACGTCCAATTAGTCGGCTCTCTTCCTTAGTCAACGCTCTGCTCGCCCGGACACTTCGCTTTGATCGATAATTAGCCTGGTCGAATGCTCGATCTTGTCTCGATCTTATCCAATTACAGTCGTACCCGATACACCCGGCCATTTATTACATTCACGGCTCCCGCACACGCTGACAATCTACCGTTCCATCTACGATTTTTACGAGAGAAAATTATTCTCCTTTTGGGACACGAAAATTACCCCTATCGTTTTCTTCATCGTATCCCGAATAAAACAGCAATTAAATGATGGCTCGTGTTCGCTTGGTAATTACAGGACAGACAGTTCTGTTCATTTATTATATAGTTACTGATTTATCATATGATATACGATTATTATATCATTTTCCGGTATTTAAGGAATTTTTTTATAAGGTTGAATTAACATTGGAACTACCAAGTCAAAATGACTTGTCAGAACATTCTTATAACAATGATTACAATGTTATATAACAATACATTTTCTCAGATCCTTGGCAACTTTTATTACGGTGTTAGAGAAAAGAAATTAGTTAATTCATGAATTGGTAAATTTTCCAGTTTCCCAGATAGCACATGACGTGTTGAAGACGGCTTAAAGGCGCCTCATACCTAAAATAGCCGTAAAATGGGTGTGTTATTTGGGTTGTCATCTAGTGTTAAATATATTTTAATAGATCATTTCGCTAAAGATTTAAATGTGGTGTCTGAGACACGTATTAATTACAAAATCACTGTTGAAACTACGAAATAACATGTCTCATTTCCTTTATAATGTCAGTTACACCAATTGGTGTCAATTCTATTAGAGAAGTTCACATTAGAGAGTAGACCCCATTCAAAGTTATCGCCTTGAATATCCCTAGCACTATGGGAATAACAGAAAAGTTTTTCAAATAAAGCTCATTACCGTATAGTATAAGATTCTCGCAAAACAAATATTACTCGAAAATTTCATTCTTACGGCCTTACGCCCAGAGAAACTTAGCAACCACAAAAGGCTGTCAGACCAAAAATAAGATTTAATCGGCCACAGTATTTCTTATTGCATTTTCTCTAAACTAAGCATTGGGAAATCATATCCCAGTTAGAAATGAAGGAAAAATGTTCGTGGGAGTATTAATATCATATCCTTAATTTATTTATAACTTTTTTTTGAAAGGTGGACAAACGAAAATTTTGGTTGGACAAATGTGGACAAATCGCGGACAATCATATCCACCTTGAGAATTAAGAGAAAGTGTTCACGGGGGTGCTGGTAACAAATTTCTTTATTTGTGTATAACTTTTTTTTGAAGGGTGGACAAACGAAAATTTTGGTTGGACAAATGTGGACAAATCGCGGACAATCATATCCACCTTGAGAATTAAGAAAAAATGTTCACGGGGGTGCTGGTAACAAATTTCTTTATTTGTTTATAACTTTTTTTTGAAGGGTGGAGAAACGAAAATTTTGGTTGGACAAATGTGTACAAATCATCGATAAACGAATAGTTTGTTTTTCATAAAATTTGGCATGTGGGGGTGCTAACTTCACAGACCTGTGAATTCCGTGTACAGTAAATCCTCGATGAGTGTTCGAAGGCTCCTCGGCATGACAAGGAGAGGTCCCCAGGTGTCACGCTGACTTTTTATTGAGGTTTTGCACAGCGACAGAGCTTGAAATTCCGAAGTCAATTATATTTGTTTCAGCTGCATATCGCAATTAATTTATGAAATATTTAAAGTTCAGTGCTGAGGAGCCTTTGAACACTCATCAAGGATTTACTGCACATAACCCCGGATTGATAGATCCAGCAATGCGTTCAGCTGCCAACCGCTCCTATATCCCATTCCTCCTCTTCTATCTTCGATTCCGTTTGCGTACGAGGAAGCGACTCGGGATCTCGTCCAGGTCTCGGAGGTCACTCACTTGTCGGGTGCTCGACCGAGAGGACGTCTTGAGGAACTACTCCTCCGGGGTGCACCCCACGGGGTGTCGGAGTGGCGGCGGTGGGGCCGTCTCGAGATACCGGGAACCGTAGCCGCGCAAGAAGCCGGCTCTGCCTAATACAGAAAACCGTAAGGTCGTTCTACCCACGGCCCTGCCCCGGCGGAAGGTTCGGCATTTCTTGTCGGATGCCACCTGAGGATCTTCGGGGAAGGTCAGACCGGGCGTGCGCGTGGTTCGATCATCCAGAGTATGGTTAATTGACATCCCCTTAATGAGAGTGCGGTAATCGGCGAAATAATTAGGACGCGATACATTTGGCGACTTTTGACTATCAGCCAATCGATGATCATTTGTAACTGAATGTTTTGTTAGAGATTTTACTCGTTTTGTTCGGTTAATTGTTGGCTTTAAGGTGGCTTTTGCAAATTTTTAATAATGTCAAGTTTAGGTGAAAATTCAACAGAATAATTTTAGAAGCTTCAACTTTCGATTGCTACCAAAAAATCGGTCAATGATAAAATTGTTGGATAATGAACGTTATAAAAAGTTCTTTTTAACGTGAGCCTTATGGAACTGTAGTTGATACTGAGAAGTTAATCGCTTCTTCTTTAGCTACAAAAAATGATATTTTCATAATAATTATTGGAATCATTTGCGTAAATTGACGATTTTACGATTTTAACTGTATTTTTTTTTATAATTACGTAAGGTAAGTTTAACTTTTTTTGTGTATTTTTAGTGGATAATTGTTAGTTGAATATTATACAGTGTAACTATCTTGATGTTGTGATTTTATTTCTACTCAAATACAAAAAAACATATTTTTCATACTGTGGCTCTGATAATTTTATCCACCATTGTAACTCCACTTTTTGAATTTCTCTTCAAATTTTAATGTCGAAGCGTGTGATTGATTGACGTATTCTAAAAAAATATTACTATTTACATTTTTATAAACAGTTTTCACCAATTAAGTGGGAAGTATTTTGTTAATACTGTTCAGTCTCTTACGATCTTTGTCATAATGCTGTCGTGAATGGAAGACTCGTTCGAGCGTTACCTTTAGTAGCGCTCGCGAAATAAGGGGTGGGATGCGAAGGACAACTTCCCTTTAAGGGCCACGGTTGACCGATACGGCTAACGGGTTCATTCCGTTCGAAAAATCGACGAAGAAAAGTACTTGGTGCACTTGCTGAGAATTCTCTACGGTGACACCTGCTTCAAGGCTTGCTTTTTAAAGGAATGCACTCGGATGACGCATCCAACTCGTCATTTACTGGAAACTGTTCTTGCATCACTGCGTTATATAACAATTATAAAATTGAACGTGAACGTGCATTAATCTCAAAACGTAACACAGAAAGCATTGATTTTTTCTAAATATTTTATGCAAATTTATTTAGTTCCATTATATCTCCATATCCCATTATGCTACTTCGGTGTATAGCAGACCCTTATTACACAAATAATACGTTCCATGTTATACGACTCATGCAGGTAATACAGTTGAGCAGTTTAATAACCAAAGTGATTAACGCTAGAATAATTGTCAAGGAATTATTTTTAAATCATTAAAAAAATTATTTTTAAATATGAAAAGTTAAGCATAAATTGTTGACACTAAAATTTAAAAAATTTCAGAAAGTGGAGTTAATTACTTTAACCTGTGAACGGCTCATATATGGATTATGTAGGTATACATATGGAAATGCATATTGATAAAAAATATAAAGGTTTATTATAAGAAATGTGTAATAAATATTAACCCTTAACTATAGACGTCTCATCTCAGACATGTATAATTCGACGACTAATTCGCAAAACTTTTAATAACCAACTGAATGTTATTTTCCAGTACTGTTATGGAAATAATTGTATTACAATACATATGCAACGTGTACAGGGTAGGGCAATAACTATGTCCACTTTAAATATTGCCGTTATTTGTAATAATATGAAAAAATGTTATATACAAAACTTACACGGTATAGTGGGGGGCATATTGTGACACAAACATTTTCTGCGTGGGTGAAGGCATAGAGGAGATTTCAAGGTCATCTCTATTTTTTTTAATGGAATGCTATGTTTTTTTTTATCGCGATGTGATAACCAAGGTCAAATGTGGTAGTAAAATAAAGTTTCTTACATTGCAAAAAAATTCAGACTCGTCTCTTAAACGTGTCGTCTGTAGTTGAGGGATATTTCCCTTGAAAATGTAAACTCATCTATTATGTTGTACAGACACTGTCCTAATTTTCCTGTCATGTTATATGAACACAATACATGTTATATGGTGGTCTACTCTATTGTACTTTATCCCCAACTAATTAAAATTAATGGAAAGCTATTAAAATATTCAAAAGTTTGACAGCATATACGAGTCATTATTAATCTGCTTAACGAGCAAAGATATACGTACACATATTGTAAAGTAAGTCAGATTATATGTACCTATAATGTGTTTTTCCTTTTATGTTACCATTATTAGATTTGGCGATATTTAATGTTACTATACCTTCATAAATAACGTGATGATATTTTGATTACAGGAAATAATCACGTTAGAAATCCAAGTGTGGCTAACGGTTTGAGCCAGATCGATAATAAAACACTTCAATGGTTCGGCGCAACGGTTTCAGCTTCCTTGAAGGATGGAGGGCCGATATTGGTGAGTACATTGATTAATTATATGCAATAAATGTTACTGTCGTGTGTTTTTTAGTAACAAAAACCGCATACAGTTACAACTTTAATTATAATCACACAAATAACAATTGCTAATAACAAACGTTAACTAGTACAAAGAAATAAGAAATAACAATCGCATATAAATTTTTGAAACTTAATTAAATCATATTAGAACACATAGTAAACTCCCTTTTAAAATGATAATAAGCCTTTCACACAAAAAATTTTCTGATTATTATTATCGATTACATAAAATTAATTACAGTCGTTTTATATAAAGAGAGAGTGACAGATCTGGAAATGTTTGGTAAATATACAAGAGACGTCTATTACTGGAAAAGTAAAGCCATGTTATATGCGACGATTCTTTTAATCTTCGCTTTTTACGTCTCAAAGGTATTTATAAAGGTACAAAAGCAGTCGTTACGAATAGATGAAGGGGTTTTGTGAGAAATTACAGGCGCATGTTCCCAGAAGACTGCTCCATCTATTTCAGGAATCGAAAACAAACGAATTCCTGTTTGACTCTATGTTTCCGTTGCGACGTGCAGCCGCCATCTTGGTTACTTCTCTGGTTACAGTAATTTCGATCTTTTCCCAGTTAACCAACGCTAAATTAGCATAAAAATTAGTCATATTCGTCACTTTCAGATGAATTAACTAGCAATTCATTCCATTATGATTTTAATTACACTAGCATCAAGAGAAAAATATTTCTATTCTCACAAAACTACAAACTTTATATGGGATAAAATGTGAAACAATTGCTGTCCTTTTGCAAACATGCAAAAATATTATATTTTTCGATGATGAAACTTTCTCTAAATTAACATCTACAAAAAAAACATTACTTGTGATAATATTTCGTTACTGTAATTATCGTATATAAACCTATTCATTTTAAAACGTTAAGAAAAAATATGCATTTTTTAACGTTTTCAATTTTTTTACAACTAGGATTTTCAACCAAAAACTCGGAAAAATGTCCCTAACATGTGCCCCGATAACTATCATCTATTAAACATTTTACAGAATGTTTGCATACGGTTAAATAGGGAAAATAGAAGAAAAACGAATAATCTGAATTTTCCCTGTTACTACCCTCCTGATCGAGATGGAGTGTTAAAAATTGGTACAAATTGCTTTTTCTTCATAAACTATCGAATGATCCATCACAAATTCAATTCGATTTAAGGCACTTTTGACCCCTTTATCCGGCTGTACTCTTTCATCATCCAATGTGTACATATTTTGTAGAACAACAGTTTTTTCAGATTTTCTCTCTAAATTAACACTAACTTCTTAAAAAAGCTACTTCTTAATATAATACGTACATATTAAAGTCCCCAAGAAACGCAGTAAAATCGCCATCGTTCTGGATCCAATTATGAACCGCTAAGCAAACAGCGTAGATACGTCGGTGGAGGACTGCGGTCGAAAAATCGCAGTCGGTTCTACGACTTTCTCCTTTTTCTTTCCCCGTTCAATCTCCCCGTCCGGGCACACCGCAGCCGCGCGTGATCCGCATGCACACATGCGTGCGGAATAGATCTAGCCGCGCGTGTACGCGCCTGACCGACTGGCAACGCACGTAAAGATAAGGGCGGCAATGCATCATAGGGGCCGACTGCATCCCGGAGAGGAAAAAAAGGGCCAGGGCCCTCCAAGAAGGACAGAGATCATCGGACTAGATTGATATCGGCACCACACTCAAAGACGTAAAACTGCGAAATGCGACTAAAGGTACGTTTCCACGTTACAGTAAATCGTGATTTTTACAGTTATGATACTAAATATTACGACTTTTGTCGTCGTGAAAACTAAATCTGGTGTTCTCGTGACATTGATGTACATTGTTATACAGTCGCACGAGAACGAAAATCCATGAATTTTACTGTCATGTGTAAACGTACCTTAAGTGTACGCGACCACAGCCGAGGCACCTGTGGATTGTAGTCGGTTACGAGAGCTTATAAAGGGTAACTGAATAAGAGGTTCCATTTCAAGTTTTTAATAAAACGTACGATTATTGTCCAGGTGTTATCCCCACCACTGAGGAGGGGCGAGGCTGTGGAATCTGTCAAGTGCATACTTTGTTGCCCCTCCGCTTTTGTTGCCGAGGCTCGAGCTTCGGGGAAAAAACGAATTTATGTGGGTCTGAAACATTTCTCCCTACAAGATTATTGTCCCGACGCGGGCCCGAGTTTGAGATAATAATCGAGAGGAGTCTGTAAAGTGTATAGATGGCGGTTCTACGTGAATAAAATATCAGACACATGGTCACCCGTCTTTTCTCTTGCAGGCCACCATCATTTTATCGACATTTTGTAAAACATGTTCGTATAAATGGAGCTCTGTTTCAGAGATAACACTTCGAACGTTGTCTTTCAGCTCTGGAATTGATTTGAGATTGTTGTCATACACTTTGTCTTTCACGTAAAGCCAAAGAAATAAGTCTGGTGGTGTTAGATCGCAAGATCTTGGAGGCCAATTGTTATCTCTTCCTCGAGAGGGATATGAACGATGAAGATAGCGACTAGGGAATTTACGATGCAATAAATTAATTGTTCCGAGTGTTATGTAGCAAGGTCTATTACTAAGAATCATTTTAAGTGTTTGTGGCAAAGTCTATGCTAACAATTCTAAATCAATTCCAGAGCTGAAAGACAGCGTTCGAGGAGTTGTCACTGAAATAGAGCCAATAATGGGAACATGTTATACAAAATTTCGATAAAAGGAGGGTGTTCTATAAAAAATACTGGAGTGACCATTTGTCTGATATTTTATCTATAGCTGCCATCTATGTACTTTAAATTGAAATAAAAAAAAAATAGATTGCTCAATATAACTCAATATAAACTCGATATAATAAAATGTTTATTATATCGTACACTTTTTCACTCACCATTCACATTTTAGAATATTTGAATTTTCTTTTAATTGTTATTTGCAGAGTTTTTAATAACAATGTAAATTTTTCTAAAAATGAAACAAAATATTTTTACTATTGTCACGTTATTAAGCATTACAAGATGAACTCAACGACATATTTGGAAGTTCTGTTTGAATAATAATTTCTTGGATAACTGTATGAATATTACTGGAAAATGTCAAGTTCGCTTACTGTGAGCGTCTTTTACCATAGCGTATGAACGTCGAGACAAGAAACAATGAAATTACCACCAATATTGATACAGTTATTCAATAAATTATTATTCAAACAGAACTTTCAAATACGTCGTTGAATTCTTCTTATAATACTTAATAACGTGGCTATAGTGAAAAACATTTAGTTCCATTTAAAAAAAGTTACATTGTTATTAAAATCCCTGTAAATAACAGTTTAAAAAAATCAAATATTCTATTAAGTTTATTTCATGAAATTAAATAACTTTCATATGAAACATTATTCGCCTTTTTAATAGTTAGAGAAATAACAGCGTGTGTGCACTTATAGTTAAACTGGACATATTGTACAGGCTGTTCGACTACTGGTGTCAGAAATTTTAATGTGTCATTCTATTTATCAAAATAAAACGAAAATCAAGAATGACGAAATTGTGTTACAAGCTTTGTTTTCAAATTATTAACAATCGAAAATTAAGGTCAAATACGCCTGAAACAGGCACTCTGTGTACAGACACTAAGCATAGGGCACACAACAGTTACGGCGCGTACACTGACGTCAGACGTCAGCTAAGAAAAAAATGTATCCTTACTTTTTCGCCAAACATGCGATATATACCTGCCCTTTCTTCTAATCCCAACATCTGCAGTTAGTCGCTGCCGAACAACAGGTACTTAGTACGACCTCTACTCGTTGTTTGCAAATTTTTATTACTTTCCTGTCCTTCACGTGGGTTTCGAGTAACATTTCCTTAGTTCGATGGCAGTCGTCAAAGCGAACACATCTAGTCGGCGAGAATTATTCCTCGAAGAAAAGCATCTATACTTTTTTATAGTATTAGTTTAATTTATTATAGTGACTTTTAGTTCAATTTAAGTTAGTTCATTCAGTGTTTATTCTGTGCGTGTGCTGTGGTCTCCCTTCTGGATTTGAACGAGTAGTACAAACGAGTAATAATGGATTTTTAGTTAAATATCGCAAGAAAATAGTCGAGTCTCGAGTGCAGATGTTACACATCACTTTTTGCTTACGAGATAAAGGTATATTTTTCTAATATCATACTAGGATTATCGCTTGCGCACAGATTGCCTGGTTTCGTGCGTTTCTGGCACGAATTTTTAACTATTAATAACTTAAAAACTAAGCCCCCAACAAAATTTTGTTATTCTCGATTTTCGTTTCATTTTGACATGCAGAATCGCCATACAAAATTTCTAACGCTAGTAGCCGACCACCCTGTATATTACGAACAGTATGAGTAATTTACAATATTCAATTGTAACAGTTGTATCTAAAAATGAATCATAGAAATACTACAGTTTTTAACGGAAATTAGCACAGTTATAGAGCTTGGAATTCTCAAGCCAATTGTATTTGTTTCAGTCGTATATGGCCTGTAGTTTCTGAAATATTTAATGTTGAGTGCCGAGGAGCACTCATCGAGGATTTACTGTATATTCCTATTACTCTTCAACCATCAGCTACTCCGGTTTGTTAACCCCTGCCGTCAATGTAAAGGTGAACGTTGTTGAACGTACAGAATTTTATAGTTTCCTCGACAACCGTTGAATCTGTATTCTTTGCAGAGAAATCGTCAGCGTTGGGTCATCGTCGAGCAAAACGGGAGGTCCTATAAATAAGAGGTAGAGCTCTTTTCTATGTGAGGGACATATTAGCGACAATTATCGTTCCCATGCTCGAGTAATTTTCACATAACGAAACGTCGCCGGGACATTCTCATCCACCCTGGTCACGGAATTATGCGGGAATTATCTACTTACTCCAGAATGCGAGTGCGCGTTCCGCGATAAATGCCACACAGCTTTTTCCGCGATTACTCTTTCTCGCTTTCA